TTCATTATGAGATCTGGTGCCCTCTTTTGGTGTGCAGATATACACAGAAGCAGAATGTTGTATCCATAATAAATAAATAAAATCTTAAAAAAAAAAGAAAAAAAAGTTCCCCCAGAGGTCCTTTATCTGGCTGCCTTAGTAAGGTGCTACTTAGATTTAGGGTGGGTGTTTTACATAACCTAATCAAGGAAATCCTTTGCAGGTGTGCCCAGTAGCTTACCTGTCACTTAATTACAGATCCAGTTAAGCTGACAACCAAGAATAATCATCACAAGTCTTTGTCAACCCCATACCCAATCATATCTCCATATGTCATGTTGAATTTCCAGGCAAAACAGTAACAAGTTGTAATTCTGTCTATTTTTATCTTACTTACAATCACCAACACACTGTTTGCCCTGAAAGCAGATGAAAAAAAATCCTTTGAGGAATGTCTAGTCTTTTAGTGTCCCATAACGTTGATGTTGTAGATTTACAACATAAAATTACTGATACTACCTCAGTCACCATTATAGTACATGATGCAGAAATAGAGGAAAGAAAGTACAGATACCAGCTTAATGTGTGTGTAAATATGCACTAGCATATTCTTAACAAAACACAACCAACGTCATAACAGAGTCCTCATTTCTGTAACTGGTTACATGACCTTAGCTAGTGTTTATAACTTCCTCCTTCCCCTACTCATTCTGTATTTCCTCTATCTGAGCAAGTACCTTAGCAGATCTGTGTTCTTTACCTAGAGGTTGAACCACACCTTTATTCCCGAAATGTCTGGGGGCACTTCTTATCCTGTCTGGATTGGGCTGTAGCTTTTCATTGATCTTAATCACAGGGCATGGCAACACTAAGAGACACCCAGAGACACTCCAGACATTCTCTCCATTATCTCCATTGTGGAGAAGCAGTCTAATTCCCTTGAGATAGTCTAGATCAATCACATCTCATAATACAGTAATTTCTTTCTTAGTCTACTGACTCAAGAGAATGAGGGGTCCTGAGTGGCCATAGGGGTGTCTTAACTTCTGTATCTATGGAATGTTAGTTATGTCCCCTGACAGAAGCAGTTCATCTGGAACCAGAACTTCTAGGCCAGCAGAGCAAAGTCACAGGAACGGGTAGCAAAATGTTTCTCGTGGGCTGCTAGAGGTGATGGTGAATGGCGCCATTCCCTTTCCACCCCTTGATTCCTGGATGCCCGAATCCTGGCTGTAAAGATAAATAGTACAATGTATTGGGTGCTGATTCAGAGCATATACAACTTTCTGGAGAACTATGCTCCAGCCCTCCAGGCTAGTGTCACCTAGTTGGCACCATAACTGTGTCTTTAAAAGGCTGTTCCACTATTCTGTCAAGTTATTTCAGAATGATGGGAGACGTGGTAAGACCAGTGAATTCTATGTGCATGAGCTCACTGTTGCACTTTTTCTACTGCAAAGTGAGTTCTCTGGCTCAAAGCAGTATGGTGTGGAATATCATGATGGTGAATAAGGCCGTCTGAGTCCATAAATGGAATATCATGATGGTGGATTAAGGCCTTTTATCAGTACATGAATAGTAGTTTTGTCAGAAGCATTACTTACAGAAAGGGCAAATCCATAGCCAAAATATGTTTGGTTAAGAGTGGTGTGCTATCCTTTCCTTAATGATCCAGTGTACTCAGCCTGCCACCAGGTTGCTACCTAGTCACCCAGAGGAATGTTGCCATATATACATAGCCTCAGTGTTGGTCTCTACGACTGGCAGACCTAGCACTCGGCAGCAGCTGTAGCTAGGTCAGCTTTGGTGAGTGGAAGTCCATGTTGTTGAGCCCATACATAATCTGTATCTCTACAACCATGGGACCACTGGGACAGCCAGGGAGAGAGGCTGCCTCGCCACAGTATAGGTCATCCTATCTACTTGATTATTGAACTCCTCAGCTAAAGTCACCTTTTGGTGGGCATTTATATGGGACACAAAAGTGTCTTTGCATCCTTTGCCAGTTTGGTGAGCTCTATCCACATACCTTTTCCCCAGATGTCTTTCTTAGCAATTTACAATCATGCTCCTTCCAAGTCCCCAACCATCCAGCCAAACCATTGGCTATAGCCCATGAATATAACCACATATTTGACCATACTCTTTCCAAGCACATGCATTACCAAGATGACACTCAACCTGTACTGTAAAATTTTAAGTTCTAAAAGTATTGTAGTACTTTAGACATTTATCTTATATTCTGTCTTTGATGTTGACCTCTTGAGAAAAAACAAAACAACCCAAACCACATTTTTTAAGTCCAAGATTGTTGAGTATTTTTCCTCAGCCACAAGGTGGCAGCAAATGTCAGTTTTTGTACCTACGTAATCACTATGTCAAAAGAAAATCTCCCTTTCAGATTAGAAATTCTATTTGAAGTTAATGTGTTAGTGAAATGGGATGTAGTACTCCAGGCATATTAAACTGTTGACTGAAATATAAGTCAACATCAAATCTACTTTTTAACTAATTCCTTTAGTATAAGGAGTCTTTAACAGGAATTAGTGCTCTTTTTAATTTTTTAATTTAAAAGAAAAAAATCAGCTTTTAATTTTGAGAGAAAAGTTTAGGAAGGAAAAGAAGGGTATTCACTGGGGTCCTTATTTGGATGGCTGTTATGATGCTGTAGATGAGCAGGTGTTACTAAATAGATACTTATAACAAAGCATAATCAAGGGGTAGAGAACTGCAAATGACCAGCAGGTCTGCTTATAGAAGGAAGAGGATGTACCTTTATCAGTTCATTTAATGATAGGGTAGTAATATACTTTGGTTTACCCATTTTTAATATACCTTCAAAGAAATAACAGTGTATGTGACGATAAGTCTTTCTGCCAAAGCCGCCCAAGCCCTGCTGCCACGTGGGCACTTTCTGCCAGCCACCTGAGTTCTGCCCGATGTTTTAGGGCCCCAATTAATACACAGAGACTTATATTAGGTTACAAATGCTGCTTGGCCAAATGACTAGGATTTCTTGTATGCTAGCTCAGTCTTAATTATCAACCATAATCTAATCATAAGACTTATCTTATGGAGGACGCAGGCCTTGCGTACTGTCTTCCTGATGGTTACATGGCAACTCTACAGAGAGGAGGAGGAAGAGCAAGAGAAAAAGGGATGACTTCCTCTTTGTCCCTGCTTATGTATGTCCCTGCCTGCTATGTCACTTCCTGCCTGTATCACAAGATTTCTCTTTACTACATTTCACAGAATCCTCCTTGACTCCGAGTCCCACCTAACTTGCTTCCCTATTGGTCAACAGTACTTCATTTAACAACCAATAAGATAAACATATACAGAAGGGCATTCCCGATCAAGTGTACATTCCCTCATTTTCATTGTTTTGTGAAATGCTGGGATTATAGTGGTGAATCTTATACTGTTTGTATTATTAAGCAGAAACAACATTAAATCTAAAGTGATGTTATTACTTCTAGGAGCTAGAATCTTTTAAAGCACAAAGGTCGTTTCCATTATTCAAAACTTTTTATAGCAGTGATGGCTGCTTTTCCAGAAGACCAGGTTTGATTGCCAGCACCCACATGGCAGCTCACACCTGTGTGTAACTCCAGATCCAGGAGATCTGATGCCCTCTTTTGGCCCCCATGGACATCAGGCATGCACATTGTGAACAAGCATCCAGGTAAAACACCATACACACAAAAATAAATAAAATTAAATTTTTTAAATTACAAAATACAAAAACAATACATTTCATAATTTGAGTTATATAGTTTTGTTTTACATGGATGTCTTACATTGATACAGATTTCTTAATCTAGTTTATTAGCTCTTTTTATTAGAGTGAATTTTCTTTTTTCTTAGCTTAATTATGTGTTGCTTGTGCTGGTTGATTTTTTTTTTAAAATCTATTTTCACCCAATGATCTATATAGTTCATAACTTTACATGTTTCGTTGTTGAACAAGTAAGAATGTATACTTTATATCTTAGGCTATGCATTTCCTAGGCTAAAAAGAGATTATAGTCTTTAGGTGGGGATGATGGATCCTACGATGGTGAAGAATACAGGCACAGTCCCATCTCCCAAGGAGTTCCCTTCATAGAGCCAGACAGCAATCCGAAATGTAGATGAAGACAGAGCAACAAAACCTGATGAGGAAATGAGTAATATGTTCTGTCATAGCATGTAGCAAAGGGAACTAACTGGTGCATGCGGACACATACCTACACTACAAAGCTTGGTGGGGTGGGCTTGTAGCAAAACAGGGATGGGGGATAGTGAGGAGGAGTTTTCAGGCCACCAGAACAGATTTGAGTTTTAAAATGGTATCTCTAGGAATTTTTTAGAGACACTGAATCTGGGAAGTGAATTAGAAGCCTATTGTAGTTATCCAGAGAAAAGGATAATACTGGCAATAAATATAAATAGAAAATAATTGGAAACATAAAATTTGAATGGTAAAATTGAAAAATTATTGACTGAGTAGGCATGGGAAACTTAGGAATAGGGAAGCGTGAAAGAAGTTGTTTGTTTTTTGTTTTTCTTAGCTGCACAAGCATGCCCCCTTTACCACTACACAGAATGGAAACTATTTAGTTTCGGACTTACAGAGTTTCAGGATATGTTCTTCCACAGGGTGACAGAGACACTACTAAAGATAAATGGGTCTGGAACTTCAAGGAGAACTTGAGGCCAGAGATACAACTGTAGGCTGTATTGGATTGTTGGTCATTCCTGGAATTGTTGAAAAAGAGCATGTAGAGCAAGAAGAAAAGCAATTTAAACTCAGACTTAAGAAGGTCCCAATTCCAGCAATAGAGGAGCCTACAGAAGGGTCCAAAGGGAGAAGTGGTAGAGGCAGGAAAAGCCAAGAGGGGAAGTCTTAGAGAGGAAGAGAGTCCTGTGGGAGAATGTCATGCTAGTGACTTAAAATGAGTGGGATTGGAAGATAGGGAAACCGAGCGATGAGTATTCTACATGAGTGTTTATAAAATGTGCCTTTTTCTTTAATTCAGGCACATCCACTATCCTTCTCACTAGAATAAATTGTGCAGATTGGTCTGATGTATGCTCGAAGCAAAACGTCACTGCATTTCCTGCGGTAAAGTTGTATAAGGAAGGCGAGAGCCCAGTGTCTTACGAGGGCATGTTGGGAACTAAAGACCTCCTGAAGTTTGTCCAGCTGTGAGTATCCAGCTTCACTCGGAGATGTCTAGGTTTGAGGTCTGTTGCTCAACTCCATGCTTGTCGACATGCTTCTAATAGGTTCAAGAGGCTACTAGACTGAGATCAGAGCAAATACTGACAGGAAGCTTTGTGCATGCTCTGTCACTTTCATCTAATGAGACAGATATTTTTAAAAGAGTAATTTTACCCAATAGTCTATATAATATATTGTTTGCTAGGTTCTATATGTTTTTTTTTCACAAACTGCAAAATATCTTTAAAAATTAATTTTGAATATAGTTATATATTTATCCAGAAACAGGATCTCTTGTCCAGTGAACATAGCATCTATCCAAGAAGCAGAAAAATATTTATGTGGAGAGCTATATAAAGACCTGCTCAGTTTTACTAGTGTGTCAGTACTGGGGCTCTTTAGTCCAGCCATGACATCAGGTAAGTAGAGTTGACACTCTCCCTTTTTTATTTCATGTTTGCTTTGGTTGCAGTAAATATGTGTATGTGTGTTTGCAGTTTTAAGGTACATATCATTTCCCATACTTGGACCTCTCTCCAGGCTATATGTAAGAAGACAGCTGTGTCTATTTTTCTTGATTTAGCAGTACATTAAAATTGCCAACCATGTATTTGGTCATTCTATATGATTAGAGAGCTCTACATTTTTAAAATTTGTTTTCATTTTATGTACATTGGAGTTTTGCCTGAGTATAAGTCTGTGTGAGGGTGTCAGAAGCCCTGGGACTAGAGTTGTGACAGGTGTGAGATGCCATGTGGGAGTTGGGAATTGAACCCGGGTCCTTTGGAGAAGCAATCAGTGCCCTTAAGTGCTGAGCCATTTCTCCAGCCCGAGTGCTATAAACCTTAGGAATGACATTTAGAGAACATTTGTTTAGGGAACCACGGTTGTATCATATCAATAGGCATTTTCTTAGCAACAGTGCCACAAAACAGATTTGGTTTAGCTGTTACGTGAGTACTTAAGCATTAGTCTTTGTAATTTAATGGTAATGACGTTCTGCCCTTTGTAAAGCCTATGTCTGCTGCCTAGCATACATAATGTTAGAGTTTCACAAACTCATCTCATCTGTGTCTGTGCAGCAAAAGAACATTTCAGGGAAGTGGGAAAGCAGCTGAGAGGCTCTGTCATCACGGGAGTTTATTCTGAGGATGACGTTTGGATATTGTAAGTTTATTACCCTTCTAATTCTGAGGCAGATGAAATGATGCAATATAACGTGTCATTTCACAGTTGGTATGGGGACTAAGAAGAATCTTAAGTTAATTTTTAACCAACATGCAAAGTGGCAGGTATCTGGAATTTGATTTATAGTTAGCCTGGTCTTCCATCTTCCTGCTGCCTCCACTCCCATCTGTACCCATCTACCCAGTATTCTAACTTTTTAATTTTCTTCTAGGAAGATGTCTGGGAAGTGCCATGCTGTTAAGTTCTTTAAACACACCCTTTGAAGTGCCCATAGGAGTGATCTTGGGCTCATACTTATTTTTGAAGCACCCACAGAAGTGATCATACTTATTTTTGCTCCTATAAAAGTTTTCATCTTTGGATCCTGTTACTTGTGCTTTGAGTTGTCTTTGGGGTCTTTATAGTGTTGAGAATTTTACTTCTTGATTGTTGTTTTTAATTTGCCACCAAGTAATATGTAAAAAAGGATACTAAAACTTCAGTTGTTCTACCAATGGAAGATGGGATTGCTGTGGGTTACCAAAATACTTTATTGGTATATTATTATAGAATGAAGGACTAGACTGCACGTTTGGAGATTTGTATTAACAAACATCATATTCATCATGAACAGCTCATTTTTTGGTGCAAGTTGACTTGTTGAGTACCAGTAGTTTGTGCTTTCAATTTTCTGGCTACAGTGTAACTAATTCTGATGTCTGAGTTCAAATCCTTCATTTTATGAAAGGAGTCATGTTTTAAAAATAGAAGGTATGGCCGGGCCTTGGTGGTGCACGCCTTTAGTCCCAGCACTCGGGAGGCAGAGGCAGGTGGATCTCTGTGAGTTCGAGACCAGCCTGGTCTACAAGAGCTAGTTCCAGGACAGCCTCCAAAGCCACAGAGAAACCTTGCCTCAAAACAAAACAAAACAAAAACAAAACCAAAAAAAAAAAAAGGAAGGTGTGTACTAAATCAGGAAATAGGAGACCTATCTATCTGATAAACTATGGTCACCTACTATTTTCTGCTGTTAATTTGCATTTAAGATATAAAGAGCTGGGCCAGTACTGTTTTCAGAGTGTTTGGTTTATAGCCAGCTAACTCATCGACTTAGTGCCCCCTCTGGGTGATCTGGGGTGGGCTCTTTACCAACCTTTATGGTATTGTAGTGTCTGTACCATTTTCATACACACCTTATACCTTTATTGGCAATGGCACATGAAAATTTTTCACTTGATTTAGAGGATTTGGGTTCTTCACATGCTGTCTAGAGCACCTCAGGAGTTCAGTGTCTGCTGGTTTTTGCTCTCTGAACCCCATTCAGCTCTTAGACAGGATGACAAAGACTTTTAGAAGTGCTCTATCTGTTAAATGAAGCTAGAGCCATGACTATAGTACCTGGCAGATTGTAGGCTTGCTCTTGGTGCCCTGCCTCACTTGGGCCTGGGATGAGCAGTCCAGAAAGGTGGAGAGCCAAACATTTTTTTTTTTTTGAGGGTGAACTGCAGAGAAGACAGCTTTAAATTATTGCCATTTTCTTTTAACAGAGATTGTCGAGACTCTCAAACTTTCTCAGATAACTTCACATACAAATCTGTCTGGGAATTGAGATAAATCTCTCCTTAGCACTAGAGCTTTTTAAAATTTTAAAATTTGGTGTTTGAGACGATGTCTCAGTTTGTAGTTTGGACTGGCTTCAAACTCATGATCTCCTTTCCTCAGTTCTCGTAGTGGGAATTGCAGCTCACCAGCTGGCAGTGAGCTTCCCTGTGTGCCTCCACTATGAGGGACTGGGCTGATTGTTCATGTTTTTGGTGACTTGCTATATTTTGATTGTGAAATTTCATGGTGTATTTCTCTATAGGTCAAATAAGTATGCCGCACCTCTCCCAGCCATGCTGCTGGCCAGGCCCAGAGAAGGCAGAATAGAGAGTGTTCCACTTGCCACCGCCCCAGTGCAAGAAATGGTTCAGATACTAGCAAATGCACCACTGGAAGCATTTGTGAGTATATTGTACAGAATAAGAATGTTATTTAAAATAAAATTCATATCAATAAATGGTAATATCTAGTAGCTTACAAGTTTTCAGTTTTTGGAGGCAATGGGGTGTCATGTTTTGTGGCTGGGTCTTTGTTTGGTTTGGTTTTGCTGTTCATTGTTTATACACACAACTTTTCTAGTTTGCTGCTAAAGTTTACATGGCTTTTTGGGGCCAAAGTGCCCAGTGTAGGGTGAACCTTGTCCCAATGCAGATAGTCTAGAAATGCAGACTTCCTGGTTGTAAATTACTCCAGGTCTTATTGGTGCCTTTGCTGCTCTAAGTTCCCATCTATAAGGTGCACAATCACTAGGAGGACTAGACTACAGAGGAATACCACTTTGTAGAGGATGTCTGATCTGTAGTAAATGTTCAGCAAGTGTTAGCTACTGTTACAATTGGTATAGCTTTAAAATGCTACCTTCTGACCACCTTTCTAATGCCTTCAACAGGTGTAGCCTGGTTACTTGATTCAGCAACTAGAATATTGCACATTTATCCATCTGCATTTCTAAAGTGATGACAGGGTACTATTATCAGCTATAAATATTGAGTGAATAGCCCCACACTATATTTCTTGTCACAATGACCTATATACTAATATGTTAGGGACTCAAATAAGTGTAGGCTTTAAAGCAAGTCTCTTAGCTACCATGAATCCAACCCCCTGACCCTCCTGCTAAACTAATAGGTTGTAATCAATCAAATAATTGAGTTATATTTTCCAGGATGTAGTTTTCTAAATCATTATTATAGTAATTTTTTAGGAGACATGCTATTAAGGAAATGTTACCTTAATATATAACTATATTTTTCCAAATAATACAAAATTAAGAGAAGGAAATTAGACTCAACTGTAGCTTTTCCAGGTCTAAACTTGAGAATATATTTCTCCAAAAAAAAATCTAAAAACAATTATCTGTGTCTTATTATCTTAAGTATATTTTCACAAAGGAAAATATATAAGTGCTTATTTTTAATATCTGCTCAGTATTCAGTTGTGTTAATGTTACATGCTTACTAAGCTGTTTTCTTGTTAGTGGATATTTGTCATCTTTCAGATATGTTGGTCTTTCTTTCTTGACTGATAAAGAAAAGGAGACTGTCCATCACTGACCTCTGGTTCCACAGATTCCTGTTCTGCCTAGTCATCCTGAAAATAGGCCAGCCTGTCCATGTCACTAATCCTATACAAAATCTGCATTTTCTCAGGAGCTAGGCTTGCTGCGGAGTTCCTGTCTGCTATTACAGTTACACTTGTTTTTGCCTTTCTACACTGTCGTCCTTCAGCTTGCTGATGTAGCCTTAGCAGCTCTCTGCCTGCTCTTTTAATGTCTCTCAGTATCTGTCACTCTGTGCTGGAGTACAAACCTTAGCTTGTCAGGATCTTACTCTTTATACAGGGATTGTATCAAAATGACGCTTCCTCAAATTCTGAGGCCCCCCCCATGTCTTTTTGACAGATCGGCTTCCTTACTGTTCAACATGAAAAGTGTTCAAGGATCACAGCTGTTTGAATACCTGTCTCTTCTAGTGTATAAACTCTTTGTTGGCAGGAAAGTTCCTTAAGAAGCACCTAGCATAATGTTTCAAGCTTCTTAGTTCTTAGTAAATGAGTTGAGCGGAAGTCATGATCCTCATCTCATGTTTCAGAGATCTGTCAGTATTTAGGAGGGGAGTGACATTTAACCCATGTAAAAGATTTTAACCCATGTAAAAGATAGACAGTAGTTAGTACAGAAAGCCAATCTAGGCAATTTGAAAAAAAAAAAAAAGACCCAGTACTTAGCTTGTGATGTAGGAAAATGTGGGAATGATGATTTTAAGTTTAAAGAGAAATGTTTGGCAGAGGGAAGACACTTTGAGAAGTAAATAGGGAAAGGCATATGCCAGCTTGATGTGTGAAAAAGTAATACTGTACAAAGGTCATTGGCATCATCTAAAACAGGCTGTTAATGAGGGTTTCTAGTGACCCAGTGAAACAGGAAACTGGTAGGCAGTGTACTGCCTTCTGGTTAAGCTTCTTCCCCCACTGAGCCTCTAGGAACATTTCCCATCTGACGGGAGGTGATGTGTTTTAGCTTACAGGTGCCTCCAGGGGGCGCAGTACTACTGCACTGAATCCACAGCAGGATACTCTGGTAAAATATTAATAAAAATGGCACATTAGAATACTTAGTCTTTTCTAAATTCCTTTCAGTTGCTTTAAACTCAGAAGAGGTAAGATTGGCTTTGGGGTTTATTTTAGCACATCTCTAAATATTTTAATCTTCCAAAAATTCCTGTGTTTGGAAAAAGTAAGCTAATTATGGATAGTGGGGAAAAGGTTATAGTTTTGACCTTTAGCTTATTTTTAACCAGAGAACCTCACTAGAGGGAAGTATGAAAAAGTTTTGTTTATTATGTGTGTATTATCTAATCTGGATACAGAATTCAGCATGAATTATTATAGAGGCATCAGGTAATGTTCCCCCCCCCTTTTTTTTTTTTGAGACAAGAGTTTCTCTGTGTAGCCCTGGCTGTCCTGGAACTCACTTTGTAGACCAGGCTAGACTTGAATTCACAGAGATCTGATTGCCTCTGCCTCTGGAGTGCTGGGATTACAGGCATATGCCACCACTACCTAATATGTTCTTAAAGTCTATTGGTAATTTTATTTTGACAATAATTCATTACCATGAGGTAGGATTGAATTTGAAGCACTTAAGATTTACTTACTGTGGTCAAATCTCTGAATGAAAATGTTTGAATTACATTTTATGGACTAAAATCGAACGAGTGACTCGAGCTTTGTCTCTGCTTTATGCTGTATTATGCCCACAATTTTTGCTTGAGGGATTCCAGGTATTTCTTTTTTTTAAACAGCCAGAAATCACTGTGGAAAATCTTCCTGCATATTTAAGACTTCAAAGACCATTGCTCATCTTGTTCAGTGATGGCAGCATAAACCCTCAGTATAGGAACACAACTCTGGCATTGGTGAGACAGAAGCAGTTGGACTCATTTACCCCTTGTTGGTTAAATTTGTAAGTATATGTTGAATGGTTTTGTTTTAACTTAAGAGGTAAAGGGTAGGGGAAGCCTGTGGTGTTGTGCATAGCACTCAGGAGTTCAAGGCCACTCTGAGCCATGTAAAGGAAATGCAATTATTCCATTTTCATTAGGAAATGAAATTCTATACCCTTTGTAGTTAACATGGGACCAAACTCACCATCATGATATTCTCATAACTGCCTTCCACAGACAAGTCCCAAGATGACCTTGTTTAGACTCAACTGTGATTCGAAAATAATTGTAAACAATATTTTTCTGATTTTAAAAGTAGATGATGTCCGTTGAAAACAATGGCAAATAAGAAACTAAGCACTGTGATATTTACAAACTTTAGTTTGTTTCTCTGTGTGGTTAAAGTTGCCCCACATTATTAGAGAAGGGTTTCATTCACTGCATCCCTAAGCGGTATTTTCTGGCACGTTTTCTAGATGAATGACTGGTACTTCATTAAATGTCTGAATACAGTCCACATGCATACACATAACCCACAAGATGGAAGACATGATTTCTTTTTTTAAAACTCACTTGAAAAGCAGCAGAAATGTGGCAATGCCCATTTTTGTTGTAGTCTTTTAGCGTTGTATCTCACTCAAGGCAAGTTTACCTAGGTGATGACCATGGTAAGTAGCTAAAATATTGTTTTATGTCATGTAAAGCGTGCCACGTTAGGAAGCTAGACATCTGTAAGATGTAGTTCCTTGTAGGAACGTAGATATTCTTGTAGCTCTTTAATGTGCAATTAACCCCCCCCCCCTTTCTGGAGCAAAGGCACAATCACAGGGGAAAGACATCTTTGTAAAAGGGAGCATCCTGTTGTAGTTATGTAACAGGACAGTTTTGAGCTGAAACACAATGAGGGACCCAGGTAAACATTAAGCAGAACCTACTGATTGTCTCAAGTAGTGTTGATAAGGCTTTGGGCTCTTGATTTTCATGGAAAGTCACTGTCTTTTTTTCCCTCCTGTGATTGACTGCCCCATGTCACAAAGAAACGTTAAAAGAATTTGATTACTAATATAATATAATCATAGACTTCTTGGTCTTGGAGAAGCCTGCTCATAAGCTTACTGGTGGGCAAATAATTGAAGTTTATGGCTTTATAAATGATTATTTTCTTCTTTGTTGTCATAGAAGGAATAATTAACATATTCACTCATCCTTCTTGCAGAAAGAATACTCCAGTAGGAAGGGGAATCTTGAAGGCATATTTTGGCCATCTGCCCCCTCTTCCTCAGCTGCTTTTAGTGAATCTGCATTCAGGTGGCCAAGTGTATGCATTTCCTTCAGCCCAGTCTATAACGGAACAAAACTTGATACTGTGGCTTAAAAAATTAGAAGCGGGACTCGAAAATCCTATCAGTAAGTTTTCTGTTTTCTTCAGTACATCTAATTCTATATTTTGTTGTGTAGGTTTTCAATGTTAATCATAACTAGTAAAGATGAGAATAAGGAAAGCTATACTGTTTATATGTGCTGGAAGTATTAGCTTGTCAATTGTATTTTCTGTGGACAGTCTGGGTCCTAAAGTCCCAAATGGAGACCACTGCTTCACCTACTAAGACTCTTTTGAATACTGATTCGTCCAGTTCATGTTGCTTGTATACATTGCCATTGTATTGGGAGCATTGACCTACCAAAGTAAAAATCCATTGTGCCATCTTCATGCATTTTTAAATTGCAGGTGTCATAGGACAATCTGCCTTTTCTTAGGCATGACAACTTGTCTTTCTTTTTAAAAAATATCTATCTATCTGTCTGTCTATCTATCTATCTATCTATCTATCTATCTATCTATCTATCTATCTATCTATCTATGTTTTTGAGACAGAGTTTCTCTGTGTAACAGCCCTGACTGACCTGGAACTTATTTTGTAGACCAGGCTGGTCTTGAACTCATAGAGATTCTCCTGCCTCTGCCTACCGAGCACTGGATTAAAGGCGTGCACCACTACCACCCAACTAAATTTGTTGTCTTTCTATAGCTGTAAGAAAATATATAGCTTTATAGGAAGTGAGTAACTTACGAATGGTACATTATTATACAGAACTCTGATTATGAGTATTCTCAAAACATGTATTTCAAACTGAAGATGTCTCCATCAGCAATACTCTTCTTTTGACCAGATTAACTGTCATAATAGCTAACAAAAGTGAGTTTTATTATCTACTTCTCTAATCCTCATTGGAAGTTGATGTTGTTATTCTATGAATTGCTCATAGAAGTATCATTATATAAAGTTTAGTAATAATAGTAGCTAACATTATTGAATGTTTACTAGGTGTGTATGATGCTTCTATAGATATGAAGTGTATCTATAGAAGTGTTCAATAACTAGTTTAAAGCCATAGCTAACCAGTAAGTGAAGAAGTGTGAATTCTAACCTAAATCTCTACTGTAGATTTACAGTTTTTGTTTTTGCATTTGTATATGTGTGTGGTGTGTACCTGTGTGTGTGTGTGTGTGTGTGTGTGTGTGTGTGTGTGTGTGTGTGTGTGTGTTCGAATGTGTATGAATGCGTGTGCTTGTGGAGGCCCGAAGTTGCCATTAGATGTCTTCTTCAATAAATGAGGGTAGGATCTCTTCCCAAACCCAGAGCTTACTAATTATGACTAGTCTAGCCAGCTTGCCCTAGGATTCCCCTTCTCTGCTTTGTGAGTGTTGGGATTATAGGCAGCTACCAGGTCTGTTCAACTTTGATGTTGGTCCAAAGGGACTCTGACTATTGAGCACTCTCGCCAGTCCCAGAGACAATTTTTAAAAATTGACAACTAGAAATCTTTATACTTATGATGTGCAAGGTATTTTGATATATACATGTTTTATGGAACAATTAAATCAAGAAAATTAACATTTGTTATCCCAACGCCTAGCCTATCATTTCTTTGTGATGAGATCATTTAAAATCTACTGTTTGGGCTGGAGAGATGCTTACCAGGTAAAACAGGCTTGAGGACAGAGTCTGGATACACAGCACCCACATAAATGCTGGGTGGGCAAGGCTGCCTGCCTGAAACACCAGCACACAGGAGGCAGAGGCAGGGGGTCCCTAGAGCAAAGTTGGCTAGGTAGGCTAACTGCCAAGTCTAAGTTCAAGCAAGACACCCTGCCTCAATAGTTAATATGGGCAATGATTCAGGAAGACACTTGATGTCAATCTCTGGTCTCTGTGTACACACACACATGTGCACATGTACCTGCATACACACCCACATATATGCAAACACAGTCTTGCACAGTACATGAATATATACATACAAAAAGGAGAAAAGTCTGTTGATAATTTCCATGTTTGTGTAATGTACTATTTAGTGTAGTCTCTACGGCAGAGTTCCCGAACACTTTTTCTGTTCAACAAGTTTTGTGCTTTTTGGCTAACATCTCCCCATTTGTAGTCTCCCTCCCTCTGTAACTTTCAGTTTCTTTACTTCTATGAGTTTGGTTATTTTAGGTTTGTACATTTAAGTGAGGCTGAGTTGTATTTGTCTTTCTGTATCTGGAGTAATTTGCTAAGTGTCATGCCCTTAAGGTTCATCCACATTGTCACAAACGACATGATTTCTTCTATTTAAAGAATGAATAGCATTCCATTGTATACACTCACCATTCATTATCCATTTGTCTTTTGATGGACACAGGTCATCATCGTACCATGGCAGTTATGAATAATGCTACAATGAACATGGGAATATAGATATCTCGACATTCTAGCATTCACAAACAATGCTAGCTTTAATATTTAATCTGTAGTACTAATGAAATAATATCATCTGTGGTGTTTATGTCTGACTCCATCTCTTGGGGTACAGTTTTAAAGAATAAATATAATGTAGCAGTCATTACTGTTTATGGACAGACAATATTTTCATCACATGAAGACACTACATTGTATCTGTTCATAATATGATAGGGCGCCTTCAATTTTTGGCTGTTATGAGTAATGCTACTGCGAAATAATTTACATGTCTGTGCTCTACCACACTACAGTCATTTACATGTGGTCTGTCTGTGTACTACCACACTGCCCATTTACATGTCCCTGTCTGTGGTCATACCGCACCATTACTGTAGCTTGGTGGAGTAGGTTTTTTTAATGGAGACATTTAATTCCTCTAACTCCACTCTTCATTTTCTAAATTCCTTTGGCTATCTTGTATCCCTTTAGAATCATGATACTTTGTTTTAATTTCTAAGGTAGTTCACTGGCTGTAATATTATCCTAGAAAGAGACTCCTGGTCCTTTCTCATGTGTGAGACTGCATGCACCCTTTCATCTGCAGCTCCTGCACTCTCCAGATTCTTGTTGTCCTGTCTGCATCACCTCCTTACAGGGTAGTGTGAATGCTGCCACTTTGCTCTCAGGTACAAGTCCTATGGACTCTTCAAGTAGAGATAGGTGCATCTCAAATAGTTCTACTTTTAGAAATGGTCGATGCTCAGAACAGCCTTGAGCTCATGACCAAGTTTTCATGTTTAGTGTTGGTTTTTTTCCTCTGATATGCAGAGAGATGCCCGGTTCCTACTCTGATACATCACAAAATTACTTTAACAGTCAAGTAAGGCAATATGTTTAGGAACTTTGTAACATGTAAATGTGAAGAATAGTTCTCCCCTGGAACAGACATCCTGAGAGCTTTGATTGTATTACCACAACTGTTGACAGTAATTCTGAAAGAATTACAGTCCTTCTCAGAGTTTTCTGAGAGTCTGGCCATCCCTTCTGTGCAGTTTTAATGCCTTCAGGACTTCACCCACTGAGGGTCTCAATCATTTCTGTGCCTGCTTCTGTTCTTCAGTTAGGTTTTACAAGACTTAATGGCATTCCCCTGTGTGTTGTGTCCCTCCGTGCTAGCCAGATTAGACACTCTTAGTTAGGCAGGTCTCTGCTAACCTTGCTTTGAGAGAGGGTCAGAAGCTGGCCCAGGTTGTAATGACATTCTGAGAATACAGTGGGAATTACTAGCAGCACAGGTGAGATGTGGCCACTGGCCGTTCTTACTTGGAGTTGATGTGGAAGTTTGTCTGGTTACTCAGCCTCTCTCTGCCCTGGCCAGCTTTTCAATGCCATGGAAAGATTATTGTGTTTCTGTTACTTTAAAGATTGAACGAGTAATGCCTGGCATGTAATAAAGATTCAAGAAGTGTCTACTGTTCTTTATGTAGCTAATAATTTCATGAATAATGTATCAGCCACACGATCAAAGGAAAGATTTGTTTTCAATTGAAAACATTAAGACCTTTCTATATTTCCCTCAGCAAATAATTAGCAACATTGAAATATCAATCTCCAGTGGTTATCCTTTAAAAATTGCATTTCTCTTTCCTTTAAACTAGGCTTTCCTTGAAGACACTTTAATAAGATTTAAGTGTATGTTGGCAACTGTAGATAGTCATTCTTACCCCTTGCCTGTTCACTACTTTCAAACACATATTTCCTCCATTGCTCACTTTTTAATCTGGTAATTTATCAGTACCAATTTGAATCCTGAGTTCTATGAATAACATAATTCAGTACTCCCATGATGTACCAAGTTGGTATAGTTGAATAGAAGAAATTGTCTGCCAGCAAGTGCTTTTTGTTTGAGCTTTTCAACTCTAATAAACTTGTACTTCATTTATGCTTCTGAACCTTACAAAGACAAGTGTTTGATTTATAAGAGATTCCCAAGTTTCTATTTTCAGAGCATTTATTATTTTTGCATATGGCATCATATAAATTCTCCTATCACAACTTATTTCTAAAAGCTTACTTCATATGCTTAATTACATAGTTGATTTCTCAAAAATATTTTAATTAGTCCAAATAAACTTTTGGTAAACCTTTTGGCTAGCTAATTTATCTCATAAGTTATCAGCTTATGATAGGAGCCTACCATGGAGTGTGGTTGATAATATCCGGTGACACGCAGTGGAGAAAACTGATCTTCCGTCGCCCAAGAGGTATCTATTGAAAATAGCTTCTTGCTTAGAGATGGAAGTTTTCATCCACATCCCTTTCTCTGTGCTGGGGTTTTGTCTGGTTTGGACTGGTGCAGGCCTCTGCATATAGTCTCAGTTTCTGAGTTCAGATGTGTATTAGGCCTGTTGTGTCTGAAGATGCTGTTTCCTTGGAGTCATCCCTCCCCTCTGGCTCTGACAGTCTTTCTGACACCTCTTCTGCATAGATCAGTGAGCACCAAGGGGAGGAATTTGATAAAGACATCCCATTTAGGGCTAAGTTCTCCAAAGTCTGTCATTCTCTGTGTAGTATGACCAGCATTTTAAAATAATGTGAGCACTGCATGACACCCATCTAAGGGAATTCATCTAATCACCGGGTATTTATAGTTCAGTTGACTCCATGGAACTTTAAAATTATTACTCATCTATAATTAACTTTTAAAAAATAGACTTGTTTTCATAAAGTGTGTAGAAAGGGTATTGACCTAAAAACAGAAAATGCTTCAAGATTAAGGCATTACTAGTATGAGTAACAATGTTAAATATTTTTTTCTGGAAGGATTCATACCAATAGTTACTTTTCAGAGCCAGGGAGATGGCTCACTTGGTAACGTGCTTGCTGTGCAAGCCTGACAGCCAGAGTTTCATCACTAGTACTAACCCAGCGCCACTTACTAGGACACACCTCCCAACATGGCCAAATGCTGATCAAATTCCAATTTGAGTTTCAAAGCAGACAAACCAGAGCAGGAGAGGTATACTATGATTAAAACTAGGTAAAGAGCCAGCCATGGTGGGGCAAACCTTTAATCCCAGCACTCAGAAGGCAGAGGCAAGCAGATCTCAGTGAGTTGTAAGCCAGCCTGGTCTACAGAGTGAGTTTCCATGACAGCCAGGGCTACACAGAGAAACCCTTCTCAAAAAACCATAAAAAATATTTAAGAAAAAAATTATAAAAATGAGCAGAGGAAAACAGTCACTTATAAAGCAGTATTCAGGGGTGGGAGAGATAGCTCAATGGTTAAGAGCACTTGCTGCTCTTGCAGATGACCTGAGTTCCAGTCCCCAGTGTCCACACTGGGTGGCTCACAACTGCTGGTAATTCCAATTCTAGGAAACCCAGCGCCTCTTCTGATTTCTGAGGGCTTCTGCATACACACAGTGCACACATATACACTTAGATGTATACCTATATACACACTTACACGCAGTTGTAACAGGACCTCAGACTTAGTAGGCCCCCAGATATTAGCACAACTGACTCCCCTTCTGCTTCCACAGTTAAATTGAAGCACTATGAGGTTGGAACTTCCCAGACTCTAGATCCATGATCAGAAATAAACTTTTTTTTGTAAATGACCCAGACTCAGTTATTCTTTTATAACTACAACAGCAACAACAATAAAAAAGTAAGACATGTACTAACTGCATGAAATCCGAAATTCTTCATGTTGAGCCTCATTCTGGTCTATTTAGTCAAATCAGACTTTTATAATCTGACTTTTTTTTTGGCTTTTAGGAACTTATTTTATTGATTTACAATAATTGTAAAATACAGTATTTTTTTTTTCACTTTTTTAGGAGAATTTTATTTTTTCCAATCAAATAAAATTCTTTTTTTATCCTTTTTTATTTGAATTACAAACAAGATTGAATTACATGACAATCCCAGTTCCCTTCTCCCTCCCATCCTCCCCTACCACCCCCCCAACTAAAACCCTACCTATCACATACCCTTTCTTCTATTCTTCCCCTGACTCAACCTTTCTGTTCCCTCATGTCCTCTGTATCCTTCCTCTTCTTCCCTTCTCATTCTCATAGCTCCCTCCCCCCTCTTCCCAGGCTCTCAATTTGATCGTGACCCTTTCCCCTTCTCCAGGGGACAAAGTTTGTCTCTCTTAGGGTCCTCCTTGTTTACTAGTTTCTCTGGCAGTGTGGGTTGTAGGCTGGTAATCCCTTACTCTATGTCTAAAATCCACATATGAGTGAGTACATATCATGATTGTCTTTTTGTGATTGAGTTACCTCGCTCAGAATGGTTTCTTCTAGTTCCATCCATTTTCCTGCAAATTTCAAGATTCCATTTTTTTTTTTCTGCTGAGTAGTACTCCATTGTGTAAATGTACCACATTTTAGTTTCTGGCTCTATTACAAATAGTGCTGCTATGAACATCATTGAACAGATGTCTTTGTTGTATGAATGTGCTTCTTTTGGGTATATTCCTAGGAGTGGAATTGCTGGATCTTGTGGTAGACTGACAATCTGACTTTTGTTTCAGTGATTTTGGAATGTTCTAGCATGTTGATATTGTGTCCAACTCTAGTTGTCTAGTCCAATCCTTTGAGTTGACATTGCATTTTTCACATTGATTTAATGATTGATGACTAGGTTCTCATGGGGAAAGTAACAATACATACATGGCATTCTGTTCTTTGTATCTGTTGAAATGCAGTGGAAATGCTAGATTTACTTTTTTGTTTGTTTATTTTTTGAGATAGGGTTTCTCTGTGTAGCCTTGGCTGTCCTGGAACTCACTCTGTAGACCAGGCTGGCCTCAGAGAATTGCCTGCCTCTGCCTCCTGAGTACTGCGATTAAAGGCAGGTGCCATCACTGCTCATCTATTTACTTGTGGAACAATAAAACAGATTTTTTTTTAAAGTCTGCAGTAGGGAGGGAAGCAGGAAACTTGATATTTTAACTTGTGCCTGTCTATCTGTAATGTTATTTTTTTTAATCTTCAGCAAGGATTAGATGATAAGATATTATATTTTTTATTCTTATTAATACTTAATCACTGCAGAAAAATAAGTAGAAAATGAATACAGTACTAAAATATGAAACTAGAGGCTGGGGAGATGCTTCAGCATTTGTTGTGAAAGCAAGAGATCTGAATCCAAATCCTTAGCACCCGAATAAAAGTGGAACATGGCTGCTCGTGTCTGTAACCCCAGTACTGAGGGGTGGAATCAGGTAAATTCTGGAAGCTTGCTGGCCAGCCAAAATGGCAGACTTCACATTCAGTGAGAGACTGTCTTAAAAAATAAGGTGGAGGGCAATAAAGACAGTGGACTTCTCTGGCATCTGCATGCACACTGGAAAGTGTGCATACCCTCCCCCCTTGTATAACCACAGGCACAAGTGCAAATGGAGATGGCTAACAAGCCCCCCCAATACACATTTCAAAATAAAATACTGTGTAGCTGTATTCATGTGGTGATTTCATCTCTAGTTAGTTGGTAATACTCTTGATTGCCTTTTCCTTCCAGCAATTTTATCTGATCAGGAATGGAAGCCACCTCTCCCAGCTTTTGATTTTCTAAGTATGATGGATGCCCCTACATCTCAAGCTCCCACAAAGAAAGTCGAGGAGTGTATGAAAGAAGCAGAGGGGCAGGAGACTGCCGAGCAGCCACAGGGAGGTAAATCAGCCACCAGGAGATTGCCGACTGAAATGCTCAGAATAAAGCACTGGAACAGGAGTAACTGGCCAAAAGAGGCAGCAGAAGAGCCTTCACAGCTCCACAGGGAGTTATGATGGGACCTTGAGGGTTGGCCAATTCTTTCTAGAGAAACTGAAGGTTGATTCTGTTAAGGAATAATACTAAATCATGTGAAGTCTAGCCAAGTGCCATTCAACGGGATTGTGACACAAACAACATGTAAAGTTTCTTAGTAGCTATACTTCAAAACCATAAATGAGCAGGTAAAGTGTATTTAAAATGTATTTCATCCAGTGAGTAAACTCAGATAGATTTATTAATATAAAAATGTTGAGAGATTTCCTTTATCCACATGAATTCATCAAAATCGAGTGCATTTTGTACTTAATGCCATTCTTTACTATAGAGAGCCGCGTTTCCGGGCTTATTTGTCCCGGTAGTACATAGCTGTTGTATTGGGCAGCTCACTATCAGACAAACACCAGTATAATTCACCCAATTCTAACCATGATATGTATTCGAATCAAAGCTGCAATGTAACTCTGCTGAGTCACCATTGGCTCTACAGTGGAATCATAGCTGGCAGTTGTATTTATTTCCTTATGGTCATGTTAAAATCAGCACTTTTCAGTTCTGACCATAGGGAGTATTTGTCAATGTGAAGAGACAGTTTCAGTATCATGACTTAGGGATGCTACTGACATCTATGAACAGAGCTTGGGGTGCCCCTAAGCACCCTACATTGGGTAGCGTGCCCCATCAAAGAATTGTCTTTCCCATAATGTCAGCAGTGCCAAGGCTTCCTAATCCTGTGTCCACTTAGCCTGTAGAGCACAGTGGATCTCAGTATCTTGTTAATTTCCCAGTTCCTATGGTATATTAAAAATGAGTGTCTGCTTTATCCTGATTATAATAAATTAATTTCTTAAAGATTTGTTTGTATTTTATGTGTCTGAGTGTTTGACCTGCATGCATGTAAAGGCACACATGCATGTCTGTTGCTCACCGAGGTCAGAAGAGAGCATTGGATCCCCAGGGACTGGAGTTATGGATAGTTGTGAGTTTTCAGTTGATGCTGGGAACCAAACAGGGGCCCTCTGCAAGAACAGCCAGTGCGGAACCATTTCTCCAGCCTCAATTTTTAGAAAACTTTCAAGAAGCAATAAAAGTCTCCACAAAAGGACTTAGAATACTTGTAAATCTCTGTACATGCGTTTCATTTTGTGTGTGCATCTCTCTTTTTGTGTAAAGTCTGTGTATATATTGCATTATAAGGGAGTCCTAAATGAGCTCCTATCTGTCTAAGTTAGATTGCTAAGGTTCAGCTTAAATAGGAATTAAATATTCTGCCACTATCTTCTATCAAAAAAGAGGCTGCCTTATCTGAGTCTTGTCTGAAATCTACCCTTATTAGCTTGGGACAAAATAACTGGTCTCCCTGGGCTATAGGACTTAACTTTATAGTGAGAATACAGGAGTGTACAACAGTTAATTGTTCTTCTGAAATCACACACTGTTGGACTGATGTGTTTGCAATGGATCTGGCTCACTGTTCCATTGTGCATTCTCCAAGGTGTTTGTTGAAACCATAGGAATTGGTGCCCAGCTGTATTTTTCTTTGTGGGTTATCTTGTTCGTTGTAGATTTTTTACATGTATGACTTGCTTAGTACCAATGAGTTTTATACTTTAATTTCACAGAGAAAATTCAATAAGCCTATACAGTGTATTTCATTGTAACATAGATGGTTTGCTGCTGTTATCCCCCTTCCTTGACTTTTTCCAGTAGCATGTTGTGCCCTACTCATGCCATTCATTCTCATTTATTTATTTCTAATGAAGGAGGTATGTGAGTGAACTCTTAATATCGTACCGGCCATTGAAATGCTCATTAAGTTGACACACAGAAACACGATTGCTCATGATGTATCTGCACTTCGATAGCCATCAGTACAGGCCCCTTTTGTGATTTTGCATTTCAAGCTGAAAAAAATTAAACAGGTGCTGTTCTGGGAATTGTGTGTGGTAACTCAACAGGTTTTCTCTTACACTCAGGAGAGCCCCGGGAAAGCCTTGGTTAGGGCGTGGCTAAGTTCTTTAGTGACAGCCCTAACAAGAACTCTTCAGTGTAGAGGAGGTGAACTCACAGAAGGAATTGGTCTTGTTTAGGATGAAACTGGAGCATGAAGCACCAGGAAGTTGAAAGCCTAGAGTGGCAGTTATCACCTACTGTTGTTCCCAGGTCAGACCTGTGTAGACTGCTTGTGTAACAATAAGTCTTTCCGCCGCAGCAACCCGAGCCCTGCCGCCACACATGAGGACTTTCCTATTAAAACATCTGTTCGTCAAACCTGCTCTGACTCCTTTGCGGAACGCATTAATTGCGCCCCACTTTATTCTTGCCACATTATCACGCCTGTTTTTGAGATCTCCCAATGCCTTTTCTCTGAAGTGGTTTTTATGTTCCTGTGTGTGCCCTGATCCAGTAAGGACACACATTCTTTGTAACGGCCTGTGTGTGGAACTCTCACCCTCTCTTGCCAGTCTCAAGCTCCCAGTCCTTGTGATGAAATGTTCAGTGGGCTGTTTGGGAAACTCCTGGAAATAATCACAGAGTGGCTTTAAAAACAGCGTTTTCAAGCTGAAGAAATCACATTTACAGATCAACGTCTGTCTTTGGTACTGGAAAGCAAATAAGGACAGCTTGAGACTTGTTCTCCAACCCCAGGTGTAAGAAGCTGTAAGGCTATTTTCATTTGAGATTTTTAAAATTTATGTGTATGTATGTGAGACTGGGTGAGTTTATGTGTACCACCTGGGAGCAGGACGAGACCAGAAGAGCCCATTGGATTCCCTGGAGCTGGAGTTACAGGTGGTTGTGAACTGTCCTGTAGGTGCTGGGCACCAAACCCAAGTCCTCTGCAAGAACAAGTGCAAGTGTCTTAACAGCTGAGCCATCTCTCCAGCCCCACATTTTCTTTTATCCTAACAAGAGAAAAAGAAGCCACAGCTTTGCCTTAGGAACCAGAGAAAATCATCAATGGGATTGAATTCCAAAGAATGGTAAGCCCTTTCAGAGAAAAACAGCACACACGAGCTATTTGGCAAGAATAGGAGGCCAACACCAAAGAAGGAACAAACAAGTTGGTATTTCTTTCCCTCCTGCAAATAAATTAGCTTTGCCAGATAGCACCAGATAGCATCATACTGCAGATATCTGCATTTTCTTCACCTCCAGTTATAAGCAGGGAGGCCAAACAACACCTGCACAGTCTGGGATGTGCTTCAAGGAAGGAGCTTCAAGCTTAAAGGAACACAGACACTTCATAGTGGGTGTTTAATGTGTTTGTTCTAGAGGGCTTACTGGACAGTAATGCTAGTACTTCATCATACTGGACAGTAGTGCTAATATTTCATCACACTGGACAGTAGTGCTAATACTTCATCACACTGGACAGTAGTGCTAATACTTCATCACACTGGACAGTAGTGCTAATACTTCATTACACTGGACAGTAGTGCTAACACTTTATCACACTGGACAGTAGTGCTAATACTTCATCACACTGGACAGTAGTGCTAATACTTCATCACACTGGACAGTAGTGCTAATATTTCATCACACTGGACAGTAATGCTAGTACTTCATCACACTGGACAGTAGTGCTAATACTTCATCACACTGGACAGTAGTGCTAATACTTCATCACACTGGACAGTAGTGCTAATACTTTATCACAAACAGTGGGATATGTGGATCTGGGGCATAGTGGAGAGATTGCCTTCACCAGCCCAACAAATACTGGATGTTTATTGTCTGCTTGGAGCTGTGAGGTGGTATGAATAAAACAGCCCCTTTATGTATTAACATTTGAGTGCATGGATTTATAGGTGATAGCTGCTAGGAAGGCAGAGAAGACTGGGAGATGGGGATGATATGGGAGTTTTTTGAGTATTGCTAAGGAAGGCCTTTCTGTTAAAATGAGTAAAAAATGAAAAAGAAAGCAGACATCAGAGACTTGGCATGTGGTGGTTTAAATGAGAATGGCCCTGATTGGCTCATATACTTGACTGCTTAGTCACCAGTTGGTAGGTTGTTTGGGAAAGATTAGATATGACTTTGTTGGAGGAAATGTATCACTGGGGTGGACTTTGAGGTTTTAAAACTCCTGCCAAGTCTGCCTCTTTCTGTTTCTCTATCTGTGTCATCTGTGTCTGCTTGTATCTCTGTCTCTGTCTCTCTGCCTACTGCCCACAAGCTGCTGCTCAATGCCTGTCTGCTTTTCACCGTGATGCTCATGGAGTAACCCTCTGAAACTGTACTCAAATCCCTGATTAAATGCTTCCCAATAATAGGATAGTGACTAAGACCTGGTGATATTGAAAACAATTTTAAATGGTAGATTTTTTTAAGAAAACAACAACAAGTTTCTTTAAAGGATCAAACAGCTGATAAAAGACTAAAAATTTCCCAGCCAAAATCTAAGAATCTCAGTAAAGGCAAAATCCAGAGAAGTAACTACACCTCTGACAGTGCCTTTCCCTTAAAGCATTTCTTATGTGATTAAATTTCACTTTTTGTATTTCAGGGAGTCATTTGGGCCTCACTGTTTTGTTTGTTTGTTTTAAGATTTATTTATTTCTTATGTATACTGTATTCTTCCTGCCTTCATGCCTGCCTGTCAGAAGAGGGTACCAGATCCCATTATAGAGATGGTCATGAGCCACCATGTGGTTGCTGGGAATTGAACTCTGGAAGAGCAGCCAATGCTCTTAACTCTTGTTCTCACTTGTTTTGTGTTTCAACAAAAACACAAAAGCTAAAGTAAATAACATAAAATCCTTGAATGAGTTATTAAACTGAAGAGTTTCAAACTTCTTTGTAGCTGTTACATGTAGGACAGTTCAGGAATGACTGGCTGAAAAATGGCAAAATCCATGTGGCTGTTTGAGCAAACTTAAAAAGTGAAAACCATAAAGACAGAAATATAAAAATGAAAACATGGCATCAAGTTTCTCTAGCGACCATGGATCTGATAGTCTGAAGACGAGGAAACAGAAATTTTAGTCAGGGGGCAAGCTTTGAATCCTGGAGCTACTGGTGCCTCCAGAGTCCCCATCACTGTGGAATCCTGTAGTGGAGTTCCTAAGACCACTGGGCAAAAGCATGGCTCCATCTGACTGGGAGGTACATGGAAGACAGTGTATCTGTGTTTTTTCCCTCAGCCCTGGAGGCAAAACCCCAAGCCATGCGTCTAAGAAGGGTGGAAAGTTGGAACATCTTGGGACAGTATTGTTGAAGTTAGAAGAGGGGAGAGCTTAGCCTTAAAGGTGTTCCTTTAATTCCTAACTGGGAGCAGGTTTGGTTCCCAGAAGAAAACGAGGAATGAGACAGTAAAGAGGGAGAGTGGGGAGGGGCTGAGGGAGAGGGAAGAAGAAAGACTTTCTTTCATCCACAATCTCAGTGGTTCCTTGGGAAGATGTTTGAGTGTTGAGTAAGAAAGGAGGGGGTGGGGGGTCAGCAGCATTGGTGGTGGCATCGCTGAGAACGTGGAATTAAAGCCAGCCTTGAGATTTACAAACAAAATTGACCTACCCTATGATCTGAACAAACCCTCCAGTGATTAAATTCAGTATAAAGTAGTTCCAGTAGGTCCCGAAGCAAATAATCTGCACAAGTAAATACACATTGTTTCTAGGGAAAGGCACTTTCATGGTAGGTCTCAAAGTAGTCCAAAGACAACTTTTCAACACCACGATGTGTATATACCCAGAGTTAAGCAACAACACAAGGGGAAGAATCAGGCTTACTGCGAATAAGAATCAGCAAAAGCTAATAGCAGAAATGAATCAGTAATCACTTTAGATACTAAAGTTATTAGGCACAAGATTATTTTGGTTACTTGAAGTCCTTTGTATTTCCATGTGCATTT